GAAGCACATTGTACAAGCAGTTTTGGCATGGCTAGCCTCTGGCGTAGTTACTTTTCTTTTGTACCTAAGACAAAACACTTGACACCCTAAATTATTTGGCTCACACTTTGTAGTGACATCAGTTCACAAAGGGTTCACTCCAGGCAGGATTGATGGCAGACAGGCATCACAGAGAAGAAACGGTTCATGGCGGGCAGGGGGAGCAAGCAAGCAGGAGAGGATGATTCTTTCTATCCTGCAGATCTCATTCACGCTTCTCAGGGCAGGTAGTAGTCACACCTGTAATCTTCATGCCCTTGATCCCAGCATTACACCATGAATTAATTCCAGTTTGACACTCCAAATCCAGCCATAGCTGCAAAACCTCACCCAGGACCACTTGAACCTTTGGAGGGACATCTGGACAAAACCTGTATCAGCACCTCTGACACTGACACCACATGGCTGACAATGACAAAGGATCTACAAACTGGTACAGGGTCTCAGGCTAAATCCTGAGGGGATTTGACTGACCTTGGAAGATACAGAGGTTACATTTCTTGTTATATAGGTCTTGCTTTATCTTGGTCTTAACCGTCCAGCAGAAAAGTATAAAAACGAGGTACAAAAAGTAAAGCCATATTAATATGCTGAGCTGTAAGAGGCTCAAGTCAACAACTTTTGACATTGCCAGTCCTACAGATAACCCACTATTAGTATGGACTACTGGACTATATTGGATTATTTTGCTGAATTCATGCAACTATAATATTTAAATAGCAATGGAATACCCATCTCTGACAAAACTAAACAAAAAAGAGGATATAAATGAAGGGTTTTTTTAACAAACATTTCTAAACAAATATTTTACCACTTAGACGTTTAACAAAATAGGCAACAAAATGGATCTCCTATACCTTGTCTTGCTAAGAAAAGAATATAGATGATTTATGTAAATACAGGGCAGCAGTTAAGGACATAATTTAAAATAATTGTGCTTGTTAAAATTAAAATGTATATTGCAGCCTAATAACTCTATAGAGTTTATAAAAACACTTCAAAAAGAAAAAAAGCTTTCATTTCTAAAATTAATGGCTACGCTTAGTCACATTACTGAAGAAAACAGCTTGGATGCAATCAATTATACCAAAGTAATCCCATCTATATTTGTAGATGGGATTATTTACATCTATATGTATAAGTGTTGTTATGGGCCGCATATAGAAAATTAGGTTTTGACTCATAGCATAGGTTCCAATTTGAATTCATTGCAATTTAGGCAAATACATTTGCAGAATATAATAATTTATTAGCTTACTCATTGGACATTCAGTGTCCACAGATAAAATGGAATGCATGATGAAACTAATACTGAGATCATAGTACAAGTAATAGGCAAATACATCTCAATGCATATTGGGAGTCTAACATTTATCATGATGTGCATCACAATTTTAAAAAAAGCATGCATGCTCTCCTCCTCTAGACTCTAATGCCCTAATTGTTATACTTGTGTCTTATTCACGATTTTGTTTTTGATTAGTCACTGGCTTTGTCCTGTGAGTTTAAGAAACACTACCTTCAAAGAGTAAGCAGGGAAACCTGAACCAGCCTCTTTCCTGTACTTGGATGGATTGATGAAATGCATTTTCCTCATTTTTAATAATGATCAACACTTAATTGTTGTATAGATCGAATATGTATTAATGGTAATTATAATGCAATCCAGAATAAAAATACCTTTAATCCTTAAAAGAAAAAGAAAATACCTTGAACTAATTTCAGTTAAACTAAATTGAATTGGTTAAATTATTTAATTTTGTGAAAGGGAACAAGAATGTAAGACTGAAATGTCCACACCTAAATTAAATAAGGCCAACCAATTAGTCTTACCCTTCTTTTCTCACAAGAGCTGTTTGAATTTTACTGTATGCTTTTAACAAAGATAATCCCTTCCTAAATCCTGTGTACCTGTATATTTTGTATACTGTGTACACATTTTTTTTCTCATCCTCTTGTCAAGGGTGCTCATCCTGATAGGAACAGAACTCTGTTTTTCACTGACCTTGTGCATTTTTCCTTAAGCAACTCTGAAAGCCCTGCTGCTTTTGTAGAAATATCTTTCTAATTGTTTTAATGTTTTATTTTCTCTATTATTATAAAAACAAAATTTTGTATTATTTTTGGGCTGGAGCTTTCCAGAATTAAATGTTATCATAAATTATAAAATGTATGTTTTTTCTTATATGAGAATCATAATATACAAGTGAATAAATTAAATAAAGAATAAATAGTAGGAACCAACAAAACAGACTCTTGAAGATGGGCAAGGAATAGCCAGCTAGATAGCTCAGCGGACTAAAGCGCCTGCTTAGACAGAAAACAGGGACCAGGGTTCGATCCCCAGACCTGCCATGCCAGCCCCATCCCCCAGGGCTCACTGAGACAGCAACTGAGACTGGGCATGGTGGCACGCCTGTAATCCCAGCACTTGGGAGGCTGTAAACAAGCACATCACTAAGAATCCGATCTAGTAGTGAGACCCTGAACACCCTGGAGACTCTTCCCTAAAATACAAAAATAAATAAAAATTTAGAATTTTATTTTATAAATGTCAACAGCTTTTGTATACATAAGCATAGATTTTAATTATTTTAATACTTATTAAATATTTTATACTGCATACACACAGGTATATCAGAAAATATATAAATTAAGTACATTGGAAAATGCATTCCTAAAATGTCTTCCCATTCATTTCCTGACTTACTTCACACGTTAGATTGTTCCCTTTGCTAGTGCAGCAGTATGATATGTGTAGATCCACTCTTTTCTCCGGCTGTTTCCACTAAATGCAGCACTCATTCTGTAACCTTTAAAGCTGTAATTCTTAGCCTTATCAGAATTTGTCCACAGATCTTCCAGGCAAAAATCAACATTAATTTTATATTCCCTTTTCAAATTCCCCCTAAAGTGACTGAAGCATGAGAGTTTAAGTGTGGTCCACGTAAGTCAAAGAAAATATTCAAAAATCTTTAGGCATTGGCAGCTGCATTGCTACCTGTGCCTCCAGCTGGAACATGCTAGAGTAAGCCACCAAACGTAAGACAGCCAAGGGTGAAATATTTAGCTATTTAGGAACAGCTAAAATAATAAGGCATGAAAACAATTAGTGTCCTGAACTCAATGAAAAAGTACATTGAAGAAGATGAAGATAATAAAATACAATATAAACATTAGGTAATGGCATATGTGTGTTTATACATAGGAAAGTTATTCTAGAAAATGAAATTTTATACGAATTTCTTTTGTAGCAGATGGGTCATTTGTATAAGTCCTAGTTCTCATTACATAAATTTTATTGGCATTTTAGGATATTTTAGATATTTTAGCTATGCTCTATTAAATTTTTCCACCAGAATTCAAATGGCTATTCATAAGGATATCTAGCTTAAGTATTTTTTAACTTATCTTCAATTTTCTTTTATTTTTTATTAATTTTATTAAGAAACAAATAGCAGTAAGATGGTTTCAAAACTGATCAGTAGGACAGTTTCAATAATTAATGTATTGCATATTGTTGTCTTCATAGTGGCTATTCATAGTACAAGATGCAGACATGATATCCTGTCCAAACACTATTAGTACAAATCTTTCTTCTCATTGAATTAAGAGAAAGTAGCTGTATATCTATCCTAACTATTTTGTATATACAGATACAAAATGGTCCTTCGTTTATATCTCCTTTTTTGTTTAGCTTTGTCAGAGATGGGTATTCGATTGCCATTTAAATATAGTAGGTGCATGAATTCAGCAAAATAATCCAATATAGTCCAGTAGTCCATACTAGTAGTGGGTTATTTGTAGGACTGACAATGTCAGAAGTTGTTGACTTGAGCCTTTTACAGCTCAGCATATTAATTTGACTTTACCTTTTTTTTTACCTCATTTTTATACTTTTCTGCTGGATGGTTAAGACCAAGATAAAGCAAGACCTATATAACAAGAAATGTAACTTTTGTATCTGCCAAGGTCAGTCAGATCCCCTCAGGATTTACCCTGAAACCCTGTACTGCAGTTTGTAGATCTTTTGTCAGTGTCAGCCATGTGGATGAGTCATGGCCATTGACTGATCAATTTTCTCTCTGTGAAAGCTTCATAGAATGTTTTGTCTCCATGTGACTCTCCTTAGGCACACTCTACATTGCCGATCACATTCCTCTGTGGCCCCATAATCTCCTTGATCAGAAAATTTGGGACACAACTGAGTTACAGGATTTTACAGTATAGGTTCTCTTATGTCCTGAGTCCTCACTGACCTTGAACGGCTAGTGCCAAAATAGTGGCTGTCTTTGCAGCCCTTCTTTTTGTCTAATTTTTGGTCTGCAAACTTAACTTGTTAACCCTCTAGAAGAGAAGCTTAATGATATTATTACCCTATAACATAGGCAATTGAACTTAACCTCACTGGGTATGGTTTGATTTCTAAATTTCTGTGTAAAAATATGTAATTTTTTATTCTTATTTTTTAATAATTTTTTCTTCACATTCTGTAGGGATTTTAAGTTTAACATATCAATACTTGATAGAAAATACCTGTTCCATGTTTTGTGTAACATGCTTGATATTTAGATTCAGTATTTGTAATTTATTATTTGATGTGCCTCCTTGTACAGTACTTTTACATGATTAAAAATGTGAATGAAATAATTATATATTATATATCTGTACTAATAAGACTCAGTGTTTAAAAACAGCTTATCTACTAGTAGCACATGCCCAAAATCTCTATTTGGAAAGCTAAGGCAGGAGATTGCCTTTGCCAGGAATCAAGGTCAGCATACACAACAGTGAGATCTCATCCGTAAAAGACAAATATACTATCAAACTTATGTGTCAAGTATTTTTTAAAGGTCATTATACTCTATCATAATAATTAAAATATGCTTTCTTAGCTTGCAAAATTTGGGAAAGTAAATGAGCCTATCAACTGAAACTCCTTGCTCTCCTGTCTGCTTCAGGTCCCATCAGTAGTATTTTGGTGAATAAGTATGGCAGCCGGCCAGTGGTCATGGTAGGAGGCCTGCTGTGCTGCGTGGGAATGATCTTGGCCTCCTTCAGCAACAGCGTTGTACAGCTTTACATCACCGTGGGTTTCATTGGAGGTAAGCCACGTTTTATTTACAGTTTATTTTTCTAACACTTCTAATTTTTGCAAAGCTCTATTAAAAGGATAAACAACAAAAATTCTTATTTTCTTTGAATTTACTTTTAATTAGTGCTAAAGTGTTGTCTGGTGCATTAAAATGTAAGCTATGGAATAACCAAACAATTCACTTTAAGAAATGAAAAATCTTACAAGGTAATGTATTTATTGTTATATAAATATTAAAAATAAAACAACTTTTTAAAAAATTTTAAATCAATTTTATTGAAAAAGAAATAGTGATGAGATGGTTTCAAAACAGGTTAGTAGGACAGTTACAGTAACTAATGCACTGCATTTTGTTGCCTTCATAGTAGTTATTCATAGTATAAGATGCAGACATGATAGCTTGTCTGACCACTATTAGTACAAATCTTTCTTCTCATTGAACTAAAAGAAAGTAGCTGTATATCTAACCTAACTAATATAAATGACCACTTTGAAGTGAAAAAATATATATATCTATATATCTAAAAACAACTTTGATTTGTTTCTACTTCTTGTTTTTATTATTTAGCAATTAAGATGGTGGTATAGACACAGATTTTCTATTATGAAGAAATAACCTTTTTAAGACTATTTTTTGTTCCTTTCTTCCTTTTAAGATATCTAAGTTACCACTTCTACTATGTTAATAATGATGTCAAGAGGTTATATTCTAGATTTACCTTTAAGTGGCAAAACTGTTTTTGCCTATTTTCTGGTAGATTGTAGATGGGCTACAGCCTGGTCATTACCCAGTGATCTCATGTCACCGCTTGGTGAGGCCCTCGGCCGCTGACAGGGCCTTTCATTTCACTGTGCCTCATACAGAGTGTCTGTTGTCTCAGATTGAGCTGAAGTTGTACAACTGCAAAGCACTATTTTTTCCCTGAAAAATAAATTATGTTTAAAAACTACATTTAAGTTTTACAAAAAATTAATATAACTGCTGATCTCTTCCCTTATGTTCAGAGATACAAAGTAAATGTATTCTACAGAGGCTTGAGATCACACTTTACAGTCATGTACTATTTGGGGGGAAAAAGTTATTAAAGGATGTAAGCCATAGTGATATTAAAATCTTTCTCTTTACAACTTATCCAAATTTCTCTGACTTTTTAATATGTAATTTTTGAATATATTGAATACAATTTTCTTACATATAAGCATTTTCATAGTGAGAAAATGTTCTTCCTTTATGCAGATATACTGACTATACTATTGATTTCATTTGATAACCGAAGTCAAGATGGATTTTGAAATAGATACATGAAGAGAAGTTGATATCTAATACTTCTATACTAGCAATGACAATGGTCTTGTTATTCTGACTTAAAATTTCATTATTTTGCATCTTGAAGTCTTTTGTGCTTCTAGAGTCAACTGCTGTATACGACTAGGAGGGGTTTACTCGAAGTTGTTATCAGCGATCTTGCGTTTTGACTTTGTTTTCTGAAAGATACATCTAGCCTTTAAACCTGCTTCAGCACATACTGTTTGTGTGTGTGATCAGGGGAAAACTATAATTCAGCCTCCTTGTCTGTATGTATTTTATTAGGGAGTTGATAAATGACTATTATACAAAATGACTAAAGAGTACTTTACACAGCACCCTGCTTTTTGTTTAAAAATGAATATTAGAATTGTAACCACAGTGACATTTTTATAACTCCAGTTGTACAACTTACTTGATTTTGGCAACACTTTTATGCTATTAATTGGACCTCAGAAAATCTTAGGTGTCTTGCCCCATCCTACAAAACAGGCAGATAGCTAGGGAAGAGCGAGCTCTATTGACTGCAAGTTTTATGTTCATTTTGCCAAGCTGGAATGAGAAATTAAGTATTAGCTCATCCTAATGAAAACATGGGCTGTCTGGAGGCAAAATTGGTGGGCTGTGCAGGGGTGACAGACTTTCTAACACATTACCTAAATTTTAGTATAGGTTCTTGTTTTTACAAGGTATTTGACCTTAGGCTGGTCAGCTTCATTATTTGTAAGTTGCATCCAGTTGCATTTATTTTGCATTTCTCATAAGGTAGGGCAGGGTGGCACTCGAGACTATGCTGTCCTGTTCATCTCCAGTGTTTGTTCTTGGTCCTCTGTCCTGGACACCTTGCTACTAATACAAAATGTTTATGTTACAGGATTGGACTAAGTAGTACTTGAAGTTAGATGTATATGTCCTAGAAATTGAATACTTTACCATTTTTCAGTACTGTTTCAATTTAGGTAAATTAGCAAATATATAGTAATTTTTACCTCTCTAGTGTCTAATATAACATAAAATAATTCCTAAAAGCAGAAATGGAGAGTAGCTTGATAAATCAGCATTATGTACTTTGAAAAGGCCTTCAGTCATCACTATCACTAAATAGTGCCTTGGTGAATGACAAGAGGTGACTCATTCTCAATGCAGTGCTCGGCCAGGGAATTTCATAGATGGTGGGGCCTTTGCCTCAGTCAAATAATCAGCTTTAATCCCTGAAGTAGAAATATATTTCAGGCAAAACAGCTCTTTTTTATTTAGTACACACACGCATCTATACACATTAAATATGGAATGTTAGTGATGTGAAGGTGTAATATAATGACATAAATTTATAATTTATCAATTGCATGGCATCTAGAAATATTTTTGGAAGAGATGTAAGGTTATGAAAAATTACGACCATTTTAGTCTGTTCACAGTTCTTCAACTCTGAAAGGAAATTTCTCCTTTTAAATTTCATGCTTGCTACAAGGAAGAAAATTAGACTATATGTTTACACATAAATGTATATGGAAGAGGTTATTGTGTTAAATGATTTAAATTAAGAACAAACAGTTTTGTCATTTCTGCCTATTCTGTGATTTTTTTCAGGCCTCAATAGCAGTTCTTGACTTTATTTTAGTATTTAAAGGAATATGCAACAGTCATATGAAGTGTTCAGTTATGAAAGCCACTTTAACTTTTTACAGTTAAATTTATATTTATAATTCTAACAATTATTACCTACTATTGCATTTTTAGTTCTGCCTTGACCATTGAATATACATTTTGAAAAGTACTTTCTGTTGTGAATGGCATAATGTGTTCATGTCTTCTTTTCCCCTTTTGTCTTGTTCTTTTTAGGTTTAGGTTTAGCCTTCAACCTGCAACCAGCCTTAACAATAATTGGCAAATACTTCTATAGGAAACGACCCATAGCAAATGGATTGGCCATGGCAGGAAGTCCTGTTTTCTTAAGTACATTGGCCCCCTTCAATCAGTTTCTTTTTAATACTTACGGCTGGAAGGGAAGCTTTTTGATTTTAGGAGCTATATTTTTAAACGCCTGTGTGGCTGGGGCCCTCATGAGGCCCCTTGAGCCCAAAAAAACTACTACTCACTCTAAGAAAAAGATTGGCATAAAAGAGGAAGGTTCAGGTTCAAATAAAATTCGTAAGAAGAAATCACTAGCACAAAAAATTAATGAGTATTTAGATTTCTCTCTTTTCAAGCATAGAGGATTTCTTATCTACCTCTCTGGAAATGTCATTATGTTTCTAGGGTTTTTTGCCCCTGTTATATTCTTGGCTCCATATGCTAAAGACCAGGGAATAGATGAGTATTCTGCAGCTTTCTTGCTTTCTGTAATGGCTTTTGTTGATATGTTTGCTAGGCCAAGTATAGGATTAGTTGCAAACTCCAAATTTGTACGACCACGAATCCAGTACTTCTTCAGCCTTGCAGTCTTGTTCACTGGAGTGTGCCATCTCTTATGCCCTCTGGCCAAGAATTACTCAAGCCTGGTGGTATACGCTGCATTTTTTGGCTTTGGATTTGGGAGTGTTAGCAGCATCCTCTTCGAAACTCTCATGGACCTTGTTGGTGCGCCAAGGTTCTCCAGTGCTGTGGGCCTTGTCACAATTGTGGAATGCGGCCCAGTTCTTCTGGGCCCTCCTCTTGCTGGTAAGAATATTTCTCATCCAAGAAAGAAAGGAATGTAATATAAATAACTACAACTGTCTTTACAGTAGATAATGCGATTTGATTAATGCTAATTGCCTGAAAGACAGATGTTTAATTTTAGGTCCTACTATATATTTCTAAATTTCATAATTGTTCAACTTTAAACCTAAGTTTATGTCAGAGCCATACCTACATATTTCAAAACTTAGGTTGTTAATTAGAATGTGAATTTCAGGATTTTTAATCAAAGTAGTTGTTTTGTGTTTTTAAGAGTGTTACCACGATAGAGCTAGGGCATACATGACTGCCTGGCAAGTGCAAGTGCAGGGTCCTGAGTTCAATCCCTGGTATGGGAAAAAAAAAGAATGTTACAACAACAATAAAATGCTGTTTGGAGCTGGGGACATTGCTTGGCGGTCTAAGCACCTGCCTGTGAGGACAAGGACCCACGTGTAATCCCCGGTGCTGCATGCTGTGCTGCTCTGCACAGGGCGTGATGGCAAATGCCTGTAATCCCAGCGCTGGGTAGGCTGACAGGAGGGTCACTACAAGTCCAAGCTGTGTAGTGACACCCTGCACCAATAAATTTTAAAATGCAGTTTTATAACTGCTGGACATGTTTTTCTTATATAAAAATACATCAAAAATAAAATAACGACTTCAAAAGTTCAGAATCAGAAGTTTTCTATAATATATTGGTCATATTAATTTGAACTTACTCATCCAAGGGAGGCTTGTTTCTCTATCACTGATACAGAGTGCAAGGGGGAAGGAAAGTCTGTTCCCTGTTGTTTTGTTGAGAAGATAATTCATATTTCATAGTTATAAATCATAAAGCTTGCCTTAAAGATTACCTTTAGATTTCAGAATCTGAACTATTTCCAAAGATGACTATAAAACTGTGTGTGTTAAATGAACTGGTAAAAACAAAGAAGGTGATTATAGGGTATGACCAAAACCTGAGAAACTGATCTGATTTCTTTTAAATGGAAAAGGAAAGAAAGGAAGGAGAGAAAGAAAAGTTACCACAGAAACTATACTTTTTGAGGACTTTCTTATTATTTTATGGGTTTCTTTTTAAATACAATTATGAATGCTTTTGAAAGAAAATTACAATTAGATTCAGTTCTGCTCTCTGTACCTATAATTTAAACACACGTGTATAAGTCCACTTTTGAAATTGAGGCTTCATTTAGTCTAGGTTTAAATGGAACACAATTTTTTTTTTTTTGAGACCAATCTTTTCCAGTAACCACTATATATTGTTTGGCCAATACTGAACTTGTTCACTTAGATTCTTAACCTTCCCTCTCTTGCTCAGAGCTAAGGCTAAATATAATTATTTATATATTTAGTCTGCTGTCAGTCTGCATTCTACAGCATAATAAGGAACCATTTTGAAAGTGGGAAAATTTATGTTTAATTTTTAACATTGTCACTGGCGTCTTTTCAGTCACCTTCCCACTTGGCTAGGTATGTATGAAAGCTGTAAGACCTGGGTGAAGTAGTATTTGTCTTCTAGGTAGTATGTCTCTTAGTGCATATATACAGTGTAATAAATCAGTTGTCCCAAAATAATGAAAGCCATCAGGTTTCTTATTAATCAACTAGTTGATTTGGTTATATAAGAGAAGAACAATTGTCCTATCTTTCCTCCCTAATTAAAATTGCCAGATGAGTTTTAGAATCTATATTTTGACAACAAAATTACAACTGTCAATTGAGAAAAAACATATATAACTATGCATGGTGAAATAAAAAAGTATCAAGTCAAAACATGGTTCTAAGGATTAATCTTATTTGTCCATGTCCACTTCTACTGCACTGAAATCCTGCATCAGTAATATATTTTTTAAATAATTTCAGTAATATTGTGCTTACTTTATTAAATATTGCTGAACTATCATGCCACTGGTGCTAGAAATGGCAACTGATTTGGGACTGATTGTTGAAACTGAGAGGGTAGCCATGGATTCTAGAAGGTGTATTTGAGGTGTTGATGCTAAGAAATTCCCCAAGCCTTTAGAAAATACAGTGAAAGTCCAGCCCAAAGTCATATTAACTGACAGAGTCATGGACATTTAGTATTTTTAAATGTTAACAACCAACCATCATATGACTATAAATATTTAAAGTTTTGAAGAAAAATCGAACAAAGGAAAACCGAGTGTATGGAAAAAAACAGCATGCTGACTTTTAAAAGTAACCTCACTAATAAAGTGGAATAAGTGGGTTTTTTCTGACTAGTTTGGCCTGATACTATTGTCTCAGATAAAGTTAAAAAAAAATTACTAAAGCATTTGGCCCCCAGATTGGCACAGCACTTAGCCGGGAGGCTGGATCAGCCGTGTACAGATGAGTGAGAACATGGGGCTCCGAATGGGAAGCCCCCATCTGCCATGCCTGCTGTGCAGCCTGATGCGAGTACAGCAGTGACTGCACGGGCCTGCGGAGTTAGTGCATGTAAAGTATTTAGTATGATGGTGAATAGGGCAACATTCAGTACTACTGGGAGGCACGCGACGGCCTCTAATTCTCTGAAGAATGTAATTTTTTCCTCTCCTTGAAGAGAAAAGGAAGCATAGGAAACGAAGCTACCTCAGTGAGATTGCTGTAAATAAATACATCCATATATTTTATTGTACATATATGTATGAAAGTATACCTCACAATTCTATGTATTTATAAATACACACAAAGGTATATATAGCCAGCCTGTCTGGATTGTACATTCTTATTATGGAAAATAATTTTCAATAAATTTATTGTACTGGGAATATAATGCTGTAAATGTGTGCATGTATAAATATATATAAAAGTCATAATCTAGGATATTTTAGGTGTTAAAGTAATTTGATATTAATTCAACAAGAGGCATATCATTTGGGGAAGCATTAATTTGATATTTTTATGACTTTTATTATGCCATCTTAAAAAAATGTTTTGTCTCCTAGGTAAATTGGTGGATGTAACTAAAAAATATGAATACATGTATATAGCCTGTGGGGCTATTGTGGTCACAGCTAGCATATGGCTGCTCATTGGCAACGCTATAAACTATAGACTGCTTGCAAAGGAGAGGAAGCAGGAGCAAGCAAGGAAGAAGGAGGCACGATCGCACGAATCCAGAGAAGCAGAACCCTTGAGCAAATCCAGACAAGACGAAGTCGCGGTCAAAACTCCACAAGCACAGAATGCGCCTTCAGAAAGAGAAACTAATATTTAAGAAGAACCACATCCCTGATTTGGGTTTATGAATTTACTTAGGAGTTTGTTTTACTTTTAAAAATATTGCAAAGGTTTTTCATTAACATGAGGAGTTATAACTAAAGAGGGAAAGAGATTTTCTTAAATAACAAATTATAAATTAGCTTTTGAAAACCTACTGATACTTAAATGTTGAGATTACATATATCTAATCCATGCAATTTATATGTTTCCATACATGACTCAGGATTTCATGGTTAAAATACAAATTTCAGAGTCTTCCACTTACTTCTATTCTTGGTAATAGAAAGACATCTGAATCCCATGGCTCTGGTTTAATTAATTAAGAACATCTTTAATCCCATACAGTGATCTTCACATTTTATTTTTATTTGGCATTAAAGTATGAAGTTGAACTGGAGGAAAATAATTTATTTTCTGACATTCAAACCCACATGAACAGAATATCTGGAGAACAAAAATAAATAAATTCAAAAGTATTATCATAGTCCCTTTTACGTCAGAAAAACCCATGGACACAGAAGAAGTATATCATATATGCATGCTCTTCTACAATGTGGATTTTAGATAAGCACATGGATGAAAATGAGGGTGATCTGAATTTCAAAATGTAAATGTCTGCTATAAAAAGTATATGATATATAAAATATATCAAACATCCTTTGATAAAAAGGGAAGATTCCATTTCACACCGTTATTTCTAGCCTTTCTTAAACTAGATTTCTCCAGACACACGATTTCTGTGAGGGGCTGCCATTAGAATCTGGTGCTAAGATGAGAAACTCCAAGTCATTGTCAGTCTTCACCTAACAGGTAAATCAGATTAAAAATCTGAATGGCACCTTGCCCTGCACTAAGTCCGCTGATTTTTCAAAGGGTTTTAGTTCTTAATCCAGAAAATAATAGAGACTTCTTCTAACTAGACCTCCATCTATTATACTCCATTGTTATACTTAAATATCAAAGGATAAACCAGAGTCCTCGCTGACAACTGATAGGTAGAGAAAGTTCTACTTGTCTCTTGCATATAGCTATGATTTGCGGGTACTGTTTTGAGTAGTGTACACCAGTCCAGCTACCTGATAGCAGAAGCCCTTCTAATTCTTTTAGCTCCCTCCTTTCCACAAAAAGCAGATGCAAAAAACAAACCATAAACAGGCCTTTTACTTAGGCCCTGAAAATGTTATGGGGAACAGTGTTATGTTATAGGAATAGTGGCCCTGGAAGACTCTGCCCCCTGCTGACTAGACTTCCTGCTGCCTGTGGGTACCCCAGGAGAGTACTCTAGGCTCCTAGAAAAATAGATTCTGTGACTTAGATTTGTAGGTATGTAGTTTAAAATAATAGCAAGAAGCTTGAAATATTGCAGCCTAGGTTAATGTAGAAAATTGTCTTTTTTTTTAGACTGAAAACACCTAGCTCTCTGAATCCATCTTTAATGCACATTTGATGGTTCTGTGTTTTCAAAACTATGAATATCATAGCTAAACTCAAATATTTACACTTGTTAATCTGAAGTTTAATATGATGACTAACAAATAAGTATTTAGTGCTTTATTGAAATTATGACACTGTTGAGATGTCCAAGGGAATGTGCTGTCAATTTTTTTTCTTGCAGTAGGAGCAGGTGCTATTCTTATTTTTTATGAGACTGTACCTGGACATCAAGCTTTTATAGGCACTAACATCAATAATCTAAGTCTGAAATTTATGCACTATTTAAGCATATGGCTCATATTTAGGGAGCAATATAAAGTTTCATTTTTTTTTTCATTTTAACATTTGCTTTCCTGCCTTATGAAGGGATATTTGTATTTTTCAATATTAAATAAAACAAGATGTGCCAATATCATAGGTAAATAAATCAGGAAAAATATAACAGTATATGATTTTAATTTAGTTTTACTCAATCTTTATTCTTGAATTAGCTGATTTTATATTAGTGCTTCTGTACTGAATTCTGATTTGTCATAGAAGAATGTCATCATTATGTAGTTCCTCTCCAACCCCAAACATTTCCAAAGAGTCTTGCCCTAAAAACACACTTAAACTAATACAGACATTAAATCTTTAGCAAATAAATAGCAAATTAATGATTGCAGGATTTTAGATACAGAACTCTTCACCATCACTTGCCAGCAGAGACTTGTCCTAGGGTGCGTTGCGAAGCTCTCTCCATGGCAGGAGGTTCATGTACTTATGGAGGGTCGAGTCAAAACCAAGGTACATTTATTTTCCAACTCTGGATGCTTTTATTAACTCTTCACTTCTAATCCTGACTGTATTTGTTAGGAAAGAAAGGAAAGGAAAGTTGCAGATTCGAGACACATGTGTAATGATGTAGTCACGTGTGATGCTGGTACCGCATGAACTTGATAAATGTACCTGCATATTAATTCCCATACATAAATGCTGAAAATGAGAACACACTTAAAACAATGACATATAATGACTTACTAGATTCACAATTGTTCCAACACGATATAAATTATTTTGTTTGATCTCCCCATTCCTTTGAACTTTTTGGAAGAATTATTGCTTTAACAGAATCTATTAGATTTAGAGAAGAATTTTGGCCTAGAATATGCACTATTACATGGTGCCCTGATGGAGGAGGACATAAAGACTGCCTTCTGTGTCTTTAGCAGTGAGTGCTGAATATGTTCTTTCCCCAAAGAACAGCAGGTTTTTATATATTCAAGATCAAAGGCAGAGTTACTCGCCACTAAAAACCCTAACAAGCCCTGCTTACCATCATGAATTTGTACAGTGTTAAGTAAGCCAGGGTACTGAAATAATTTGTGACTGCTGTCTAGTTTAAGTGTACCATTTGTGTTAACTGAGAGTCCTGGTTTTTCCACCATTTAATTTAAGATACTCCTCCCCAATTTATGCGTAGAACTTGGGATGGATTTGTCCTGATGAGTTTGCACCCTCACCTGATCCTTTTCATTTCAAGGAGCACAGTACAGTAGAGCCAGTGGGTCAGGTGCCATGTCTCACACTGGAAGACACGATGCTTTCATACCATGAATTCACAGCTCCATAAACTTTACTTGTTTTGTACCAAGTTCCAGCTGTCTTGACTCATGTGCTTCTGGGTTTTCCTGAACACTAGAGAAGGAGGAAAACAACTGACTTTGATGTGTTCAAGCATGCACTTTAAATATCTAAGGATTTTGTGCTCACCCTTCTCTGGCTGTTCAACATGACAATCAGGAATATAAAAAAAGAATATTTAATATATATAACCAAAATATATGAAATAATTACGTTTTGTATAATACTATAAATATGGAAATTAACTGTGATGATAAACTTAGTTTTTATGAGAAAAACCTTTTAAAGCATCCTGTGAGAAGTAGACTATCTCAGACTAAGAATATATGTTGGAAATGGAAACTATTAGACTTAGTAGGAGGAAGGAATGCGGTGTGATAAGGGAACTAGGTGTGATGAATTTTACTCACACAAGGCCTTTTAGGGTTCAAATGAAAGCTATGACAGACATTAATTTGACATAATGATTGAAGACAAAAATACATGAAGCTATAAAAATTCCCTAAATTAAAAATTAAAACTGAGTATATGTAAAGACAGAACTCCTAAAGTGTTCATACTGCTTCCCAATAGACACTACAGTAGCAAAGGGAGATAGTATATAAGTAGAGAAACGCTAAACCTTCTGTGAAAAAACTTAAGGCTTATTTGCAATTTGCATTATGATTTATTTAGTGTTTAATATATCAGAGATTAAGTGATAATTCGCTATAATCTGAATATAGTTTTCAAATTGTCTGCTTTGCTTGCCACTGCAGATGATTCCAAATAGTCAAAATGATGTCACAACTATAATGGTTTTAGTGTAACTTTTTCTCATAAAAATGGCATATTTATGTGACTCAGGCATAATTGTCCTTAAAGTTGGATTTAGAAGGGAAATATTTATTATAAATAAGTAATTTCTGTTCTAGTTGCCACTTCACAAAACATTAAAAACTACTGTAGAACATTGTATTTAGAATTTTAGTGACTTTTTTTCTCCATTTGTAGGATTACTCAAAGATACAATGGATAAAAGTTATGAGATTCCAATTTTCTAGTTCATCTGTACAGTGCATATTTATTTTTAATAGATGCCCTAGATTCCCATTTATCAAGTTTCCCTGACCAGCTGCATTGCTGTATTTGTTGTACTTACTCTACAGAGAGAAACAGTGCTACTGCTTTGCCTTGCCCTCTGGACCTTTGAAGTCCCCCAAATGTGCTTCTCCACTTCCGTTCTGCTGCAGTGCTCTCTTCATGACTTCATCCGTGATGCGGGTAGTCTGATCAGCTCCTGAGGCACAGGAATGGCTGTCCTGTAGCCCACTGGAGATGCTCCTTTGGCCGTGACTATTAATCTCTACTAAGGAGGAAACAGTAGGCTCAGTTTCCTGGACAGGAGAAGTGCTTGCGGTCTAGGGGGCACTTTGTTATGCTATTTCCTTATGACAGATAAATTAAAGAATCTGGGAACGCCAATCTTTCTGATGTTAGCACTTAATAATCTAAAAGTTTCTAATTATCTTAAAGTGCCTGGCAACATTAGGAGCTGACAGCTTAGAGGAACAAAGCTCACCATCACAGTATTTCTCTTTCATGCGTCACACAGGCTGTGTCAGCGCCATGACCTCACAGGTACATCGTAGCTACTCAGTTTCTTACCATAGTTGTATAAAATACCAAGTAAAATTGTTGAGATTAAAAGCAAAATTAAAGTCTTGCCTTTTCACACATATTTTTAAGTTGTGTTCTCTTTACATCCATATGTACAGTCATGTCTGAGAATACACTTTGGAGCTGAGAGATCCAACTGTCAGTAACTACTTATTATGCTTATTAAAATAATAAATTAATATTATGTAATTAAAATGAATACTTTCCTGAGCTCACATCTTTTACAATTCTGGTTTTCTCTACTTGCTCTTAGCTGTTCATGTCCGATAGTTTCATCTCTTCATAAAGTCCTGTTATCTCACTTTAGGCTCCTCTCTACTGCTTCTGCTTGAATTCATTTATGTACAAGTTTGGGCAGAATTGCTATGGCTAGTATGAATGATAAGTTTTAATGTCTCTACCTCAAGGTGAAAATTAAAATTGAATTTGGTGGAGTACACAGAAAATTTTAGACTAAATTATTTCCCTCATCTCAGTGCTTCCTTCTCCATTATTTGTATAATTTTTATAAACTTTATTTTGACTGGCTAAGCTAAGTTTTTACCATCTGAATATGAACATTTTTTAGTATGGAATTCTTGTTTCTTTGGCAAGTTTAGGCAAACTTCTATTATGTTCGTTATGCATTTCAATCTTTATGTGTACTTCTTTAATAAGGCCAGCAATATTGAAGAGTAATTATCTAGGGCAGTATTCATTGTTCA